GTATCCAGTGCAAACGTTGATCCAGACTCAATGCTCGAAATTGAGGGCATCTTGATATACGATGTTGCTCGGCGCATCAAGGGCAGGTCACTGCTGATCTCATGTTGGCGCTTGAAGATTTGGGCATCACCATATGTGACTGTCTCGTACGATATGTTGCCGAGTGCCTGGGCGGTACGGTAGAGCTGCTCCTTAAAGTGTCAGCATAGATCTGAATCCCCTCAAGCATTTTCTGCAGCAGCGGCGATGTTGGCAATTTACGGAAAACAATAGGATAAACGATGGTGTCCCAATGGTCGGTGGCCAAGCCCATCACGTTAAGTGCACATAAGGTACTGCGTAATACATCGATTACATTCCGAACATTGCGTTGCGTAAGTGCTGGGTGTTCAGGCAAGTCCAACAACCGATTCACATGTGAACAAACGCCTGGGATTGTCGTACCTCCTTTTCAATTCCGCCCATAGTTGGTTGTTGTTGTTGTTGTTGTAGCGGCTACAACAACCCCGCCCAGGACGGTTGGTATCTCAGTCGTTGTCGTCAAGTTCCACTGACGGCAACCCTAGGAAGCGTGCAGCTTCTGTGGGGTTTGTCCACAGGGACAAGGCCGTTAGGGTTGTCGGGTTTTCCGGGCATGCGAAGAGATGTTTCGAGTCATGTGGGGTCTCTCCGCATGCCGGACACTCATTCGGCACATCCTCATTCAACCTACTCAGGTAGGAGTTCAACCTGCTGCAGTAGCCGGAGCGAAGTTGTGCAAGTGTTGTGCGAGTCTCCCGAGGCAGATGAAGCTCCATCTCGTCTATGTCCAGGGTGGAAGGCCTAGAACGGCATTCACAAATCTAGATCTACATAACTCGAGACTGAGTCCCTGTGAATGCCGTTCAGGGCCTGTCGGTAAGCTGTCGGGTCCAGAGGTTGCTTGATGAACCTCTGGACTTCGTCTGTCAGTTCATATAGATGCCTCTTGACGTGCCTAGGCGAGGACTCCTCTGCAAGCAGCTGTCTGCTTGAGTGGCCACTTCTGCGACTCCCGATCAGGAACTGCTTGCAGAGCATTATATTGTGCTCCTTTATGGGGAGCATTTGCGCCTCGCCGTGTAGATGGTGTTCAGGCGACATCAGGAGGCATCCTGTCGCTGTCCTGAGTGCGGTGTTCTGTACAGTCTGTAGCTTCGTCCACTGCGTCCTACTAGTCCCTGGCGACCACACTGGCGCTGCGTAGTTCAAAACCGGCCGGCCTATTGCCTTGTATGTTGCCAGCAACGTTTCTTTGTCTTTGCCCCAAGTACTGCCGGCTAGCGACTTGAGGACCTTGTTGCGGCTTTGTACTTTATTGACAATAGAAGGAAGGAAGGCAGAGAAGGAGAGCAGGCTGTCGAATGTTACTCCGAGTATTTTGGGGTTATTCACCGTCGGAATTGGTGTGTCATCGACGTGAATCCCCAGCGGTAGCCTGACATCCTTCGTCCAGGTTGTGAACAGGGTCGCGGAGGATTTCGTAGGGGAGTGGGCTAGACACTTTGCAGTGAAGAAGCGCGAAATTTTGGAGAGATACCCGTTTACTTTCGAACACAGGTCATCAATTCCATTCCCAGTCGCCATGATGGAGCAATCGTCGGCATAAGAGACAATCGAGACTCCCTCTGGTGGTTGAGGGAGCTTTGAAATGTAAAAGTTAAACAGTAGCGGGGAAAGGACACCACCCTGAGGAACCCCCTGTTTTATTTTTCGCTGTTTACTCGTTTTGTCTTTAAACATTACCGACAAATGTTGACCACTCAGATAATCTGCCGACCACCGTTTGAGCCTCTGTGGGAGAGAGGAGGCCTCTATATCTTCTAGTAGCGTGGAATGGCAGACGGTGTCAAACGCCTTTGACAAGTCCAACGCTACTAGAATCGTTCTCTCACAGGGACGGTTTCGGTTAAGGCCACGAGTTATCTGAGTGTTTATGGCGTTAAGCGCTGTTGTTGTACTGTGCACTTGACGGAAACCATGCTGATGCTTCGCTGGGGTCAAGTGGTTTGTGAAGTACGGGAGTAGCAAGGCCTCGAGTATCTTCGCTACCGGGGAAAGGAGTGTTATCGGACGATAAGAATCTCCTTTGTTGGCAGGTTTCCCCGGTTTGAGCAGTGGGACCACTCTCCCCACCTTCCAGAAGTCTGGGGTGATGGGAGTGGCCATTGACAAGTTTAGGACCTCCGTTAGGTACGCTACCCCCGCAGGACCCAAATTTTTCAGCAGCAGCATGCATATTCCGTCGGGACTCATGGCTTTGGAGGCTTCCGCCTTCCCGATGGCCACCTGAACTTCACCGCCATTGAAAGCAAGGGGGGCACAGGTTGTTGGCAGTTTGTGCAGCCTTCTGGTCACTCGACGCTTGGCTTTGTCCACCGGAGGATGCAGTATGAACTGCCGGCTAAAATAGCACGCGCATCGCTCCGGTTCTGACGAAGCATGGTCACCGAAGGAAATTTCGACGCTGTCGTCGTGCTTCGTCGGATTAGACAGTGACCGCACGGTTGACCAAAGCTTACTCACACCAGAGGTGAAATTACAGGTCTTCAGATGCTCCTCCCACTTCTTCCGCTTATGTACGTTCACTAGTTGCCGAATCTCCGCGTTGAGATCCCTGATACGGGGATCTCCGGGATCGGCCTGACGAAGGCTATCACGCTCATCGGCTAGAACAGCCGCTTCGGCAGGGAAGTTTGGACGTGGGTCCGATATACATCCTGCCGGTATGAAGCGAGCTGCAGCAGCAGTGACAGCCTTGCGGAACTTACGTTCACCGAGATGGACGTCGGTTGGTGTGGGGAGCGCTGTGAAGGTGTTTTCGGTAAACTCCGCGTAACCTTTCCAATCAGCTTTAGAAAAGTTGATATAGGTCCGGTGTTTGGCGGAGGCAAAGTCGGTTGGTTTACCTATCGAGATGACTATGGGTGGGTGGTCTGATGCTAGAGTCAGCATAGGTCGCCATGTTATGCTGTTTATCAGACCAGCGCTGACTATTGTGATGTCTGGCGAGCTACTGCAGGTACCCATAATCCTGGCGGGTGCGTCGTCGTTCATTGTGCAGAATGTCGAATCGTCTATCTGCTCAGCCAAGTCTGTTCCCCTACGATCGTTTGACAGGCTTGAGTGCCAAAGATCGTGGTGCGCATTAAAGTCACCTACTACCATACGGTTTTCACCTCTGAGGAGCGCACCTATATCAGGGTGATATCCTGCCGGGCAGCACGTGACAGGGGGTATGTATATGTTAAATATTTCGAGCTCGACATCGCCTGACCGGATAGCGATGCCCTGACATTCTAGGGTGGTATCCCTGCGGTCGATGTCTGCTTCGATTAGACGATACTGCACGGTGTGGTGCGTGATGAACGCTAAGCCACCACCATTATCTCGCTCGCGATCTCGACGGTGCACGTTGTACCCGGCGCAATTCAACAAAGTTGAATTGCTGTGCAACTTCGTCTCTTGGACCGCAGCTATCAATATACCATGCCGACACATGAAGACGGTTATCTCCTCAATCTTGCTCTGTAGCCCGTTGCAGTTAAATTGAAGGAGCTTCATGTGGTTCGGGAGACATGTCGTGATGTGGGGTGTAAGTGATGTGTGTGTTCTTGCCGCCGTTGGCTGTGTGCGCTGCTATGATTATTGCCGCCCTGTGGTGGTGGCGGAGGGCGTCGCAATTGGGGTCTGCAACCGAGCAGCGCAACACGGGCCCTCGAAGTTCCCAGTCCAATATCGCGTGGTACGCAGACCTGAGCATGCCCTAAAGTGGCACCAGCCAAGGCAGGTGTTGCACTTGACTGATGTCACATTACGGAATATCCTGGTCTGACATACCGTGCAGATTGTAGGGGGAACCAGGAGTTGTTGGCGGCGGCGTGTAGGTGGTGGTGTGGTTGTGTGTGTTATGTGGTCTGTCGTGGCTGTGGTATGGTCTGTGGTGTTATTATGTTGTTGTGTTGTGGTGACTGTGTGAGGCTGCTCGGGCGGACTGTGGTTAGCCGGGGAGGCTGCTCTGTTTGAGCAACAGGGGGCCACGTACGACGTGGTCCACTGTCTATGTGTCCGTAGTCCCGAGCAGACTCTGAGGTGACTCCACCCCTCGCAGGCATTACACTTGACTGAGGTGGAGTTGTGGTGTAATCATCTCCGGCGTACACAGCAGGTGTAGGTTTCTGGCCCTGGGTTTGACTCGATGTAGTCCTATGGACGGACAACTTCTGAGATACTTCGCCGACCTAAACGGGGTTAGATCGCCGAAACAACAGCCCTTGGTCGGGTAAAACCCGAGTCATTCCGGTACGTAGAACCGGCTGCCGTGGGAATGACCCATTGTTGGTTGTAGCCTCCAGTGTATACGCCGCCAACCATTGGCACCGCTTGGCACCTTATCCGGCTGATTTTGTAAGTGTCGTCAAGATCAGTGCGATTATGTACCATCGACTCGAAGATGTCCTTAAACACCAACCAGTTTTCCTGTCGGCCATCGAACGTGGGGAGTTTGACGGGATCTAATCGGTGTTCACCTTGGCACGGGCTAGATTCAGAGTGCGCAGTGGCATTTGAGCCAGCGCGCATGCGTTGCAATTTGGTGACAGCACAACCATAAGCCGCCTCCACTTGCGCTAGTAGCTCCTCATGAGCGTCCAATTCTTCGTCAGTGGCTCCGGCCACTAGCGCGATATGATTGTCCATGAAGCGGTTATAGTGCCCGGTTAGAATGCTGATGGCGTGCTCCACTTGCACCTCATCCGCGGTATAACCTTCGGTTTCCACCTCCGCCCTGATGCGTAATATAGAACTCCTCGCCGCTCTTCTTATATTCATTGCAGCCATAGTTCCGCGTTTAGAATCGCGAAGGCAAACTACTTTTATTTTACAGCGTAGATTATACGAAACTTTGACAATAAAAAACCGCGCTTTCAGTCCTCACAGGAGGCACCAAAAATATGTATGACAAAAGCAACTGAAAACCGATTATGTTTGTACACACCAACCAGCTGGAATATAATGGCACTTATTTATTTGCAAATTCGTCTTTTATAGAAAGCTACAAACGGTACAAAGCGTGATTTGTTAACGTTAGATTTTATGATGTTTACAGGTTCAAGAATATTATATATAAAAATGGAAGTATGTATGTCTGTATGCAAAACATAAATAATCGAATGACACTTAAGGCTAGTGCAGAGTGCAGCCGCAAATGACACTAAAGGTTAGTGCAGAGGGCAGACGGTAAAGCTGGTCGTTGCCACTTAATCGCGTACAAACAGAGTTGCCGTTGCAATTTGAAACTAGCATTATCTTGTACCAACGTTGCATTTAAAAAAATATCTAGAGAGGGTTCTCAAAGAATCGAAAGTAAAGTGTCGATACTTACTTGGTATCGGAGTGAAAAGCATCGAGTAAAAAAATACTCGGTATCGCAACAAAAGTATCGAGCATTTATTTGTACTCGGTGGTATCGTTTGATCCATGGCACAATAAACAGGTAATAGCAGAAGAGCAAATGCAACCCTTCCATGTATTTTGTTGTTGCTTGAGAAACATAAAATGTCAAACGAGTTTCAAATTACACCAATATAAACAAGTTTGACAATTCAGAAAATTACCATTTTAACAAAAATCTCATAAACAGATGATCAAACTTGATATTATTTAATAAAAATGTAATTTTTTCAAAATATGGTAAAGAAAAATCGATACATTTTCACACTCGTTTTGCTATATCGTAAACTAAGTCGAAACTACTTAGTAGAAGTCTGAAATGCGACTATGAATAGAGGTAAATTTTAAGTTGGTACTTAAATTTAAGTTGCGAGTTTGTTAGTTTCGACATAGTTGCTGGACTATGAATACGCACCAATATAGTTTAAAACAATTGAACTGAATGATGTGTTTGTACCATGAAACTGAATGGTCCGTAGTGAACGTCTTTTACCATAGCGCATAAATGGTTTTTATAGCAAATGAAGGCTTCTCGAAAAACGAATACTTAGGGCCGGTTACTCAATGTCTGGTTAACACTAATCTCCGTTTAAACATCATTATCGACGTGTTCGGCTCCATGCATATAACATGGAGTCGGTAACGTCGATAACGATGTTTTACCGGAGATTAGTGTTAACCAGACATTGAGTAACCGGCCCTCAGCGGACTCTCCCAAGAAAACCAAGTGCATAGCGATATTAAATCAGAGGCATTGCGGTTGCTCAATAAAGAAGATGTGGTATTATTATTATTATTATTGTAGCAGCATACAAATTCCTCAAAGGCTTTTTGGGGAGTGCAGCTGAAGTGACAGTCCGTGGCCAGATATGAATCTGCGTCGTTCCTGTTACGTAGCCCCGACTGTTGTGGAAACGAAGATGTGGTCATCGTGGACGCTGGCAATTATATTAAAGGTGATATTTAACTCTACTACAAAGGGTGTAAATAGGCGCGAGCATGGGAGTTTAACCAACAGCGCGCTGGTGCAGATGTGTTGGATGATCGAGTGGACAATTCGAACGTGCCATATACACGGGAAATATTTGATGCTTTGTGTATGCGTTACGAAGAGCCGCATGGCAACTGCCGTTGGGATAGTCCATTGTTTGTAGTGTTTCCATAACAAATTATTACCAAAATAGTTTCATATAAGTCGTACACACTCGTGCTTATATATGTATTTTTTTTAGGCGTGCATAATTTAAATCACTTGCCCACATGACAGGGACAATTTCGTTAAATATGTACATACCTAAAAATAGTTTCAATAGAGTCCACAATATTAATAGCGCAGTCGATAAAGAAGCAAGTGGCGACACAATGGTAGCTGTTAGGCGTTTTGTAGACCTACTAAGAACAAAAGTTTAAATGCGATAAAATAAGCACATACATACATACATATATACGTACCCAGCCAGCAAAATCATCGTAAACGAGCTCGTAACTGGATATTTTCTTGAAGAGAAACTGGATAAAAAGTCGTGGATAAAAAGTTCGTAAAATGTACGTTTTCTTGCTGGCTGGGTATGTACAAAGTATCAAAGTTTTATGAACATTCGAAGGTACTTCTAAGGTGTAAATAAATACCATTGGATATAAATGCGCGTGGATGTGCTTGTTTTGATTGATGGTAGCGACCACAAATGATGGAGCTTTCAACTGAATTTGCTCAGACAACAACTCCAATTGTGATACGGAAATACGCATCTGCAATCAAAATAGAAATTTACGTACACATCATTAAGTTCATCAAATATTTAAGCTATCACATAGATTATTACATAGATTATTATACAAAAGAAACATATATATGTAAATGTAAGTGCGGATATAATACTGACACTGGTAGGTACTGACTGTGTTTAATGCCTGGAAGCTTGTACTAAGACGTATGCCTGCTCAATTTCAATTGGATACGATTTCTGAAATATAAATATGATTAAAAGTTTGAACGTAAATAATTTAATATTTAATTTTACCAGTTTAAAGAGTGATTTTATTTAACTTATTGTAGCGTACCAGCCTTTGCTTTGCCTTCTTCACTTTCAATTGTTTATTTAGTTGGCGTACTCTAAACAGTATCCGGCATTTAAAGAAAATCTGTTTGACGCTGTCTGGAAGGTCTACGTTAGCTGCTTTGTTCAGAAGGCGCTGCTTTATATTTTTACAGTGCGCTATTTCCTGTAAATTAACTGCAAGGAATACCGACTCCAAGCTCCGAATACGGTCTACAAAAAGGGGTGCAGGCTTTTTAAGGTACCATTTCGACACCTGATCGACCCACGTAAAAGTTGCGTTACTGGTGTCTTCGTGCTCGCTGAGATGTTGCTTGCGAATTATATATCCAGCCATATATTCTAGCGCATCGCCATGCAGCACATCGCTATCGCCTTGCAGCACATCAGCATCGCCATGTATCACATCGGTTCCCCCATGCAGCGCATCGCTGTCGCCTTCCAGCACACCACTATCGCCTTCCAGCATATCAGTTTCGCCTTCCAGCACATCTGGATCGTATTCCAGCACATCGCCATCGCCATTGGCGTGAGCGACACTCAGAGCGTCAGCGACCTCTGATTCTGCTTCCAAAGGACCTGGTTCTCCTACATCCTGTTCATCTGGTGCGCTATTTTCGAACACCCCGCTTCCATACAACTCCTGCGGGTTTGATGTGTTCAGCCATTCAACAGAATTCTGCTCGGCGTTGCCTGTTTTGTTCAGATTGTCGGCATTCCTTGCTGAAAAATAATTCAGAGGGGCTATTCTCAAACGAGTCAGTGACAAATATCGTATCGCTATCATAACCTTGCGACATTCATAACACACGTCAGCTACTTCCGATAGCCACCCGAATAATGTCGTTAACTGGTTTGAGATTAGGTATACAGATGTGGATAATATACAATTAAATATACATTTAAAAGATAATTTTTGGCAAACTTAACTAAAATGTATTTTCGGAGCCTGTACCTAAACTCCTTCGGCGTAGGGTGGTCGTTTAATCCTCCCTTGCCTCGTATATTTCCGAATAAGTGCTCCAGCAAATCTTGATTGAGACGCCGTGTGACAAGGTAGTTGAAGTTGTACTTCACTACCACATACTCGTACAACTGTAACAGTGCGTTATTTGTTACTAAACCACCCCTTTGAAATTATTGTAAGCTATTTTTGCGAGGGATGATAACATCTGACATGAAATTATTCATACGTCCCAAAATCTCGAGCTGCCGCTGCATCTTCCGTCCAAATGGTTCCTTTAAGTAAATTACATGCAGATAATAAGTTGTGAATTTTATGAAATAAAACCTTCCAGGATAATTGAACGTTTTAACGGAGGAATTGAGCACGTCGTACCAATCGTTCACCAACTGAATTAGTTCAGCTGTCTCGATCGCTTCTTCTATGTCCAACCCCAGAGCGTAGCAGCGCAGTATGGCTTTTGCAGTCGTGTTAAAAAGCAACTGTGTCGCCAATTTTACCTTTTGTCTGCCTGAAATTTTGAGTGAATTATATTAGCTACGAGATTATAGAATAGTTATTAAAAACATACCTATCCCTTTTACAACTAAGTGCTCTTCTGTTAACTTGAATGTTATAGATAGGTCGGATACAGATGTGTACCTTATAACATCAACTATTGCGCGCGCAGTTATTATGCGGTCTTTCCAAACAAATCCACTATCAATAAAAAGATTTCGGATGAGTTTCAACAGATGCGGAGCATCCGCAAATGCGAAAACCTTCGCCTCTGGATCAGTAGGGTTGGTGAACCATGGGTGTTCTAGTTAATTGTTAACTAGCTTTAGAAAATGTATTAGTGAATTAAATATATACCTGGAGTGATGCCGAGGTCTCTCCAAAGCTTTTGGTTGGATGGGCCTATATCGCAGACCATCGCAAGAACAGGGAAGCCAGCATTTTGCACAGCCGAAATAATTGTATGCAAAAGTTCGACGGTTATTTTACAATTAAAATCGTAAAATACTGGCTTCTTCCAGGATTTTAATAATCCGCGCGCCATAACCACTTGAACATAATTTGCCGGCTACCTGACGAAGTCGTCGGTAGGCTCATACTCAAAAGCTTCGGTGACCTTCATCTCGTCGAAAGCCAGCACACAAACTTTTTCGACGGCAGTGAGCTCGTGAATGTGGCGCATTAAGTCCAATGCAACGGATAACATTCCCTCACCAACACTAATTTACGGTACCACCTTTGAAGTGTGCTTATATGTGGCAGGGGCAAGCCTTTCGCATACAGATGCCTATATGCTCGGGGTCCGGCAGTGTAAATACATATGGCGCTGGAAATATCGCTCCACGACCATATAACGTTTTTGTCTACAAAACAAATAAAATCTAACAGCAAATTTACAGAATTTGGTTTAATTTTATACATACCTTTTGCAATCATTTTTTTAACCTGTCCGTCTGTGCATATGGACCGAATGGAAGACATCAAAGATGCATTTTCGTCCAGCTGGGCTTTAAGTTTTGCGTTCTCCTTAAGCAGCTGCTTATTTTGCGCTTTCAAATTGGCAATCTCCAGCTCCATTGTACACTGCAGAACTATGGAACTAAGAAATTTGTTTTGTGGAAGAAGAAAACTGCGTAGAAAAGTATATACATATATATGTATGGCATTAAACAACTTACTAAGTTTGCGTGTGGCAACTAGTATATGCCACACATTGAGCAGAGGTTCCTACGGAACCACTATGTACCACTTCTGATATAATTGTTTCACTTATGGGATCACTTAAGTAACCAATTGGTTCACATACTTTCCCGCCGTCACTTCCACAACTAAAATATTTCAATTTTACCACCTACATGCATATATATTCTAAGGCTCTGATCTTAAAGCATACTTACAAAGGCGGTTTTATAAAGAGCGTTGAAACAGGATTGGACATCAAGTGCGTACGTTGTGCGCCACCAATCAAATCGGAGCACGCGAAATGCTCCCCGCAAACTACATGGTTTGCTGTGAACGTGATGCCACATGCTCTGTTCCAATCAGCCACCCGGCGTGGCTCCTGCGGGACCTTAAAAAAGGGAACTCCACCCTTTACACGCTTTTTGTGGCAGAGAACGCACTTTCCCATCTTTGATTTAATCAAGGACTTCACACAAAACATAGTATCGTATATAGTATATCGCACTAAATAGCAAAATTAGACAATTATAAATTAACTGCAAACTGGCACAAACCACGTAGAAGCAAATTTTGACAATTCAGTTTGTTTTCATCAGATGTAAACATAGTTTGACAATTTAGCTTATACGTGAAATTGAAAAAAAATCTAATTTGCAACTCTTCCGCTTCTACCCGTTTTTAATAAGCCTTGGTTTGATCCAAGGCGAATTTATACAAGGTGGTGTTGATGGCGAATTTAGATTTTCGCCGCGGTACTTCTTGATGTCAAAATGATGTGTTTGTTGTAAAATGAATTCGGCTTGTTTACAACAAACACATTGGCCCGTAGTCATAGTCAAAATAAAGTCGACTTTAAAGTTAGTTGCAGCTTTTTGACATAATTTTCAATGGGATATCTGTCAAAAAAGCTGCAACTAACTTTAAAGTCGACTTTATTTTGACTATGACTACGGGCCATTATTTTGACATTAGGAAGTACCACGGCGAAAATCTAAATTCGCCATCAACACCACCTTGTATAAATTTGCCTTGGTTTGACATGACAAAATTGTCAAGTTTAGGTATGCAGAGGGCAATTTGAAAGGTCCAACGGTGACAAATGTCTATTATTTTGGATGACCTGTTGAGTACGTGACAACGCTAAAACATGTGTTAATATTTTCAATATTATTAATTTTGCAGAAAAAGTTCCAAAATTTTATTAAAGTGAAACCATTTTATTTGCCTCATCCATCGAACAGTATGTTATCAAGGTTGATTAGACATTGAGGCTCTATAGGTAATTTTGAAGAAATTGTGGAAATAGCTGATCTCGCCTTATTATAGGTTTTTATTAAATTTTTAGCGCCGAGCTCTAAAAAGCGGATTGTACGATGAATCAATTAATATGAGCTATAATAAATTTAATAAATGCGCAGTCCTATTGCAAAATGTGTTGAAACAAATATTTTTAAAAAGTATGCG